AAGCTTCACCATATTGACTATTATACATTTTTCTTTTTTAAATATCAAAATTTTCATTCGTTATTATTAGGTTTAGATTATCAAGAACATCCACCATACAAGTCCCTGTTAACTCTTTTTACCAGAGGTCAAAAAGTGGAATTTCTGGCTGTTTTGTGAGGTGCCCGTGTTCAGCGTTGAATTTATTTTGATGTCACACACATTTATTGGCACCTGCTGCTCACATTGTTCTTAAATCAATGTTTGTTGGGACAGAGAAAGCTTCGTAGTTCTTGTTAAACAAATGCATTTCCAATTCAGCTAATTTCTCATCTACAACCTGAGAGCTTTGTCAATGCTCAACTGTTGATTAAGTAACCAAGAATTAAAACTCAGGATTTTTAATTAACTCAGTTAGATGTCTGAGGCATCAAAATCTGAAAATTGAAATCATTATTCATATATTCCTTATGGCATATGTTGACATGAAGTCAGTGAGAAAATAATAAAAGAAAAGCATCTGGCACCATTTTAATGCGAGTTACAATACAAGTTAGAGGTGCGCGTTGGGATTGTCAAAGACAAACACGTACGGGGCATTGAGAGAAGGAAATTTCAATTGCAGTAGAAAAATGATATTATGCCACATATTATACAGTATGTGATAGTATTATTATTATTATTATTATTATTATTATTATTATTATTATTATTCCCTCTCCTAGTGTTTACCTGAATATCAATTCATTAACTCTTACAGATATTTGAATATTAAAAATCTAGTCAGAAGGCATGTCTCTAATTAAAACACAAGACTACAAACTTGTCCGATATACAAGACTGCTAATTAAATTTCTATAACAGCAATGAGAGTCAAACTTTTTCAGCTGCGAGTTCTTTCTAATATGGCCATGAACAATAGTACAGAGTTTATACAGCACAAATAAACACTTTGTCAGATTTAAAACAGGAGGTGTTCCTGCTCTCAGCAAAACAGAGCTTCCCTACTAGCTTTTATGTAAGGTAAGAAAGGCATAAAAGACTAAAGCAACTTTATGCATATGAAATTTAATCCACATCGATTCCAGTGGTCTGTAGCAGCAGTGTTTCAATATCAGACATGCAACACTTCAATAAACCCCAAAATCCAAATCCTAAATCATTAAAAAATAGGATTTTATGATCAATTATAAAAAGGGGTGTGATGTCTGTGGCTTTGGATCATATAGAATAAATTAATTCAGAGATGCAATAGGAAATGTTTAGCATTTAGGTCTAATGAAATCCTTGTACAGTATTGCACATTAGTGGTAGTAAACGGGTAGAAGTGAGACACCAGTAGAAATGTGTCAACTGGCAGAGTTCCCAATACTGTGTCTACCACAGCTGAGCTTAACTACTGAGGCATGTCACGCGTTTGTCTTAAAATGTGTTAGGTTAAAAAAAAATGCAGAATAAAGTGTCTTAATAAATGTCTGGTTTCAATGTCATTGTTTTATTAGTTACTCCTGAAAAAATTCTCATTTCATACACTCAGTTTCTTTTCAGTGATAAGTAAATAACTAAGGAGTAGAACATGAAAGGGCATGCTGTAACAGACAAATAATCCATGACAGGGTGGTGTGATGCAGCCTGATGCAAAGCGAAAGGCTGATTCCACTCAGAAGTTGATTCTTTTCAAATAACAGCAGGTCCCGAAGTGGTTCTATTCCTCTTATAACACAGCAATTTGCCAAGAATTAAATGTTTTTCTTCATTAAACAACAACACAACATACTTTTCATTGGTAGATTGTTACATTTAATGTTGTGGAATGTCTGAGAAACAGGTTAGTTAGTGTTATCATTTTATAGCAGCTATACACAATCATTTGCTCACTTTCTTGAGGTTATTCAGACAAAAATGCAGCCTATCACAACGAAGCCACAAAGTGCAGTTAAGTTTTTCCTGTGGTGTAAAACTTAAAGGAACAAGTTCACACCAGAATACTACAAAGTGCTGACACTGGAGACTTCTTCCATAAATATTAAATAAATGTCTCCAATATGGTCCAAGCTTCACCATATTGACTATTATACATTTTTCTTTTTTAAATATCAAAATTTTCATTCGTTATTATTAGGTTTAGATTATCAAGAACATCCACCATACAAGTCCCTGTTAACTCTTTTTACCAGAGGTCAAAAAGTGGAATTTCTGGCTGTTTTGTGAGGTG